GGGCCCCGGCCCCGGGGCCGCCGCGTGCTCCGACATCACCGCCCCGTGTCACCCCGGCGGCCGCCGGCTGCCCCCGCCGCGTCCGGGCCGCCGGATACCCCCCGCCGGCCCCGGCCGCCGCCGCCTGCGCCTCCGCTAGCGTCCGTCCGGCCAGCGACGCCGGCGAGAGCGCCGGGCCAGAGCGCCGCCCGTGCGCGGGGCACGCTGGGATCGCCATGGCCGCCCCAGGAGGCCGGGTTTTTGGGTCTGAGGCTGGGACCACAAGAGGTGGGCGGAGCCTGACCGCTAATCACAAACTTCGCTCGGAGTCACGTGGAGTCCAATTTATTTTCCTAGCGGTCCTTGCCCGGCTCATTTGCATAGGGCCCCCCACCTACTGAGGCACGACGGGGGGGGTGGAGTCGCGTGTCGCGTAAAGTCCCTTTAATTTGCGTAGGGCTGAGGGGCGTGGTCTCAGCACCAGGCTATTTTGCATTAAAGTTTCTCTCAGCCGCGGCAGCCCGGACTCGGGGGCTGGGCTACGTTGGCCGACATTTGCATAGGGCTTCCTATTAGCGGAGGATGAAAGGGGGCAGAGACTCATGCCCGTAAGTCTATTTGCATAGGGCTTCCCAATGGCCACAGCCTCGCCGAGGGGCGGGGCCGAGGCGGATATTAGCATAGGGCTCCCGGAAGCCCCCCCTGCGCTGGGGGGCGGAGTTCCACGGGCGTAGCTTATTAGCATAGAGTTTCACCTGAGCTCCGACAGCGCGGGAGTCCGCGCTGAGGGGCGGAGCCTCGTGGCGCCTGTGCATTTGCATATAGCTTCCCAGAAGGCTACGCTGGGCGCGCGCTCCTCTCAGACGGCTCTATTAATTAATCTGTGAGCGCTTACATGCACAAATAACTACAGGCACCGCCTCTCCCAAGCGTGATCTTTTCTTTTCTGGCGTCCGACGACGTTATTCCGACTACACAAAGCGGCCCCCAACTCCTCTACGCGAAAAGTGGTTCGGTTCTGTCACTTTAAATACTCGCGGAGGGCAGGGAGCGTTTGTGCTCGCTTCGGCAGCACATATACTAAAATTGGAACGATACAGAGAAGATTAGCATGGCCCCTGCGCAAGGATGACACGCAAATTCGTGAAGCGTTCCATATTTTGCGTCCTCAGCCGGGCTCTCTGGGTGGAGCAGGCTGGCCCGGTCTGTCTGCCTGCCCGGGGAGAGAGGACTTTGAATTGTTTACACACCGCCTGCACGCACGCCTGCCCGCCAGGAGGGGGCGCCGGCTCCCACGACCGGCGGTCGCGAGCCGCCGTGAGGGCGCCGGGACCTGAACTCGCGGCCTCCGCAGGGGCAGCCGAGTCTCCCGCCCCCCGGGACCGGCGTCGTGGGGTCTAGGCTGTCTGGGGCCGTCCGCACCGAGCCCTGCGGACAGGGTCGGAAGGAGGCAGTTCGTCGTTGTTGGATTATTTGTATTTTCCCACCGCTTCGAAGTTGGCAAGCTGAGCCCCGGGGCAGCGGGAGCGGGCGTCGGGCCCCCTCGGGGGTGCTGGGAGCCGGACGCTGTGGCCCGGCGGGCGGGCGGGCGGGGGTCCCCGGCGGCGGCCGCGGGGGCTCGGCCGCAGGAATCCGGCGCCTCCGCGCCTTATAAGGACATTGGCGCGGGCAGCCAATCGGCGGCGGGGGCGGCGCTCGGCCTGGCCCGGGCCGTCGCCCCCGCCGGCCCCACAGCCGGTGCCTCCGTCCGCCCGTCCGCTCCGGGCTCCCGCGCCATGAGCTCCACGCAGTTCAACAAGGGCCCTTCCTACGGGCTCTCGGCCGAGGTCAAGAACCGGGTGAGTGCGCGCGGGGCCGGCCGGCCTCGAACGCGCGGACCGCCGCCGAAGCCGGGCCAGCGTGGCTCGGCTCCGCCCTGACGGCCGGGGGGCCCGGGCGTGCTCCGGGGAGCGGCGGGGCCCGGGGGGGCCGCCTGCGTCCTCCGCATCCCGGGGGCGTCTCCTCCAGCCTGGTCCCTGGGCCTCGCGCACCCCTTGGGGGGTCACCCCGCGCCCTGAGCTCGGACGTAGGCGAAGGCCTTGCGTAGAGTAAGCGAGCGAGCGGGCGAGCTGGGGTCCGGGGGACCCCGGCGGCCCCCCCCCTTACCTGCCCAAACTTCCCTTTTCCCCCGAGCCGCTGGGGTTGGGGACAGGAGGGGCGGGGCCGGCGGCTTCCTTCACAGGGTGTGGCCCCCTGGCAGGACTTGCTGCGAGGTTTAAGGAGGATGGACATTTCTGGAGGGCCACACAGCCCTCCACAGCCTGACCCCAGACTCAGGGGAGCTCGGGCCTGACGCTCGGAAACCTTCTGGATGGATCCGCCACCACACACACCCACCTGGCACCTGGGAATGCAGACCTCAGAGTCAGCAGAGCCGGGCAACCTGCCTGGGCACGCTGAGCTGCCAGCCCAGCCCACCTCCCACTGGCACCTGCCAGGTCCCCGCCAGTGGCCCGAGAGGCAGAGATGCTTCGCTGCACACTTAGGAGTCACCAGCATTGCCCTCCTGAGCCGCTGTCTGAGTTCCCACCCGCCGGCCTGACTGCCTTGCCCTGTGCCTGCAGGGCCGGCCGGCCAGCTCCCTGGAACAGAGAAAATGAGACAGAGATAGATCTCAGGAAAGCCCCAAGGATGGGGCGGTTAGGAGCTGAGGGTGTGGCTGGGGGACAGGTCCGTGTGAGCGACACAGGGGACCAGGGCTCAGGTTCCCTCAGAGGAGCTGGGAAACGCAGAATGGCCTCGACCAGCCTGCAGGGGTCACAGAGGCTTGCATCTTTCGCTGGGAGGGGAGACCCAGAGACCCTTCTGCCCGACTTGCGTGCCTCAGTTTACCCCCGGCTGACCCATATCCGGTGGGGGTTTGTTCAGTCCCGTTGAGGAGCCTGACCACTGGGGAACAGCTGGTCCTGATTTAGACCCGGGAGGCCACCACATTCCTGGTAGTTTGTGGCCGGGCGGGCAGGAATGCGCTGAAGGGCAGTGGGGGAGGGAGGTGGCCGCAGAAGGCAGGACTGGGGCCGGTCCTCCTCCTTGGTCCTCAGAACCGCTAGGGACGTAGCCCAGCTGGACCAGGCACTCCTGCCCCCCCGCCCCGTCCCATTTCTGCAGGACAGGGTGGTTCCTGGGTGTGGGAGCAGCTGGCCATGGTGGCCTCCTCCTTTGTCCACCCTGCACCCAGCTAATCCCACTTCAAAGGGTTTAAAAAGACAGGAATGGGGAAGAGGGCTCCAGCCAGCCGACCCTTAGACACAAATCCCAGATGGACCCAGGCGAGGTAGGGAAACCCGGCTGGAGGTGGTGGTGCGTGCCTTTGATCCCAAGCGCTCGGGGTTAGGGTATAAGTTAAAAAGAAGTAATCTAAAAACCGTAATAAATGCAGGAGGCATAATAAAAAAATAATAATAAAAAGCCGGGTGTGGTGGCGCACGGCACAGCCTGTGATCCCAGCACTCAGCAGGCAGAAGCAGGTGGAGCTCTGGGTTCGAAGCCAGCCTGGTCTATAGAGTGAGTTCCAGGACAGCCAGGGCTACACAGAGAAACCCTGTCTCAGGGGGGAGGGGTTGGGGACTGAGGCTTGGAGAGCTGAGTCGACTGTGGTTCTCCGTGTGGCAGGGGCAGCTCTCCTGGGTCCTCCTAGTCCCCCGGGAAGGACGGAGAAGGACCTGTTCTCCCTATGAGAGGGTCTGCCACAGGAGTGCCTCGGGCTCCCAGTGTGGCCTGGGATGCTGCCTGCCACGGGGCGGGCAGGTATGAGCCCGTGGGAAGTTAGTGAGTCGGGAGCATCTGGGGCTTTAACCCAGTCAGGTGAGGACAGGCCTCCAGGAGAGGCCCACCAGCTGGAATATTGCTCGGCCATGAAAAGGAACAAGCCTCCAGCACTACAGTGTGCGTGGAGAACCTTCCGGGCGGTGTCCTCAGAGAGGAGAGAAGCCCTCCGCTTACAGGAAGTGCCCAGAGCAAGGGGAGGGGTGGAGGAATGGGGCGAGCGCATCAGTGGGTAGAGAGGGCTGACCCCGCATGCTCATCACAGTGTGTGGCCTCTGCGCTGGGGAGGAGGAGGAGGCAGAAGGTCAGGGTGCTCTTCAGCCGCACAGTGATTGGAGGCCAGGCTGAGCCAGTCTCTGTGCTTCCTCTGCCGTCCCTTGCCTCAAGCCTCAGAAAGCTGCAGGGCCTTCAACACCCAGTCTCAGTACTGTGCTCTCTGCTCCTCCAGCTCCTGTCCAAATATGACCCCCAGAAGGAAGCCGAGCTCCGAAGCTGGATAGAGGGACTCACAGGCCTCTCCATTGGCCCCGACTTCCAGAAGGGTCTGAAAGATGGGGTCATCCTCTGCACGTGAGTGTTGACAAGCACTCGGACGTCAGCCTGAGCTCTCCACGCTGTAGAGTTGTTGTGGGTCTCTGCTTTTTGTTTTTCTTTTTCTTGCCTTTTGTTTTTCGTTCTCTTGGCTTATTGTGTTGTCTTGATATTTTATTTTAGGGTTTATTTTTTAAATAAGATTTATTATTTATACAGTATTCAGCCTGCACGTGTGCCTGTGTACCAGATCACACTGTAGATGGTTGTGAGCCACCATGTGGTTGCTGGGAATTGAACTCAGGACCTTTGGAAGAACAGCCAGTGCTCTTAAGCTCGGAGCCAGTTTATTTTTATTTATGTTTTTGCATGTGTGCCCGTGTTTATGGGCACATGAGTGCATTTCCTGCAGAGGCCAGAAGAGGAGGCTCTGATCCCCTGAAGCTGGCCATGAGCCACCTGAGGTGGATGCTGGGAAATGAACCCAGGGGCCTGGAACATGCACCCTTAAGTTCTGAGCCCTCTGCTCAGCCCCTCATTGCCCTTTCTCGCCCCGTGTCTCTCTGTCCCTGTCTGGTGTTTCTTTACAGTATTGTATTCTCTGTATGCCCTGGCTGTGAGCATTCTCTTTCCTTCTGGAAATTTCTCCATGTCATTTGGACACAGTTTTTTCATGTGCACATGAAAAAAATATAATCAAAATTCTCCAGTTTTCTTAAAACTCCATGGTTCAAGATTACATTCTTAGCATCCATTTTCAGCAGATTTGTTTGGCGGGTGAGGGAAACTGAGGCTGGGAAGTGGCAGTGAGGTTGCCCAGGACACCAATGGGCTCATGGGTCATCTCTTCCCAGACTCATGAACAAGCTGCAGCCGGGCTCTGTCCCCAAGATCAACCGTTCTATGCAGAACTGGCACCAGGTGAGTAGCTGACAGGCGGAGGGTGGGAACAGCCCGCCCAGCCCCTGTGGGGTCTGTGCCCCCCCCCTCACCACCCTGCCCCTGCCGCCCCCAGCTGGAAAACCTCTCCAACTTCATCAAGGCCATGGTCAGCTACGGCATGAACCCTGTGGACCTGTTTGAGGCCAACGACCTGTTTGAGAGTGGGAATATGACGCAGGTGCAGGTGTCTTTGCTTGCCCTGGCGGGAAAGGTAAGTTCCAGCCGGGCCGCCTAGCATCACACAGTCCAGAGGCTGGTGTCGGCGCACAGCGAACCAGACACACCCAAGTCGCTCCGGTCGGGCTATGGTGCTGCATGCCTTTAATCCCAGCACTCAGGAGGCAGAGGCAGGCGGATCTCTGTGAATTCGAGGCCAGCCTGGTCTACCGAGCGAGTTCCAGGTCAGCCAAGGCTACACAGAGAAACCCTGTCTTGAAAAACAAAACAAAACTAAACAAGCATCAGTGCACCTGATGCAAGAGGAGAATTTGGTGTGGAGAATCTGCTGGGGAGGCTGGGGGACCAGCACTTAAGGCTGAAGGGCACAGCAAGGCTGCTGCGTGTGAAGAGGTGTGGGCTGCTCAGGAAGTAGGGAAGACAACAGAAGTCTCTTCTGTGGACCTGGACTGAGGGCCTCCGCTCCCCTCATCCTTGACCTAGGCCAAGACCAAAGGACTGCAGAGTGGTGTGGACATCGGGGTCAAGTACTCGGAGAAACAGGAGAGGAATTTCGATGATGCCACCATGAAGGCCGGCCAGTGCGTCATCGGGCTGCAGGTCGGTGCCACAGCAGCCTGGACCCTGATCCCTTGATCTCCAGGGAGGCTCCGGAGCTTGGGGGGCACACCCTAATCCCCCCCACTGCTTACCCCAGATGGGCACCAACAAATGTGCCAGCCAGTCCGGCATGACGGCCTACGGTACCAGGCGACATCTCTATGACCCCAAGAACCACATCTTACCACCCATGGACCACTGCACCATCAGCCTCCAGATGGGCACCAATAAGTGTGCCAGCCAGGTGGGTCCTGCCCCAGACACCCAGGCTGTGGCCCTAACTGTGCGTGCTTGTATAAGTGGCAGCCCTGCTGTATACCTCAGTTTCCCCCAAATGTCCACCCCCCCCCCCGATAGTCTCACTTTTTTATTAAGTTGTGGGTATGTCCATGAGGTTTTGGGGAAGTCTCTGTTCCTGGTGAAAGGGCTTCCTAGCTGGCATTGATGCTTAGAAATGGACAATATAAATCTATTTTATTTTTGTGCAGAGGACTCCTGACTATGTAGCTCAGGGTATCTTTGAGCTAGCAGCAGGCCTCCCGCCTCAGCCTGCCGAGTGCCAGGGTATCTGGAGCCCCAGCAAGGCTCAGTGTCTACAGCGTTCTCCTAGCGTGGGTGGAGACCCTGCCTTCTGTCCTTGGCATTCACACATGCCATCCTCAGGAAGTGGGGGCAGGAGGATCAGGAGTTCAGTCGCCCTCGACTACACAGAGAGTTTGAGGCTAGCCTGTGCTACACGAGACCCCAGACTCAAAAGAAACAAAACAAGGTTTTCACTGAAGCTTTGGAAGCCCTTTTGGGAATCGTAGGGGGCATACTGAGCGAATTCAGGGTTTTTACCTCTCCGCGCTGATGCCCGTCTTCCGTCTCCAGGTGGGCATGACGGCTCCGGGGACCAGGAGGCACATCTACGACACCAAGCTGGGCACCGACAAGTGTGACAACTCTTCCATGTCCCTGCAGATGGGCTACACGCAGGGCGCCACCCAGAGCGGCCAGGTCTTCGGGCTGGGGCGCCAGATCTATGACCCCAAGTACTGCCCGCAGGGCCCAGCAGCCGACGGGGCTCCAGCCGCTGGTGACAGCAGGGCTGAGGCCCCCGAGTACCTGGCCTACTGCCCGGAGGAGGCCGGCTACTGAGCACCCAGGGGCCAGCTCCTTGCCTCAGCATCCTGCGTGGGGTTTGGGGCTTTTGTTGTTGTCTGTTTGTTTCTGTGTTCTCATTGTGTTGTTTTGTTTTTTTTGAAACTGGGCCTTACTTTGTAACCCTCTCTGGCCTGGAACTCGCTGCAATCCTCCTGCCTCAGCTTCCCGAGGGCTGGGATGACAGGCTCCCCCCCACCTGCACCCGTCGTGCCTTGCTTCTTTCCCAGGATTGATTCAGCAGGCAGGGAACATGGGGGTCCTTGCTGGGGTAGCCAGCGGGCTGTGGGAGAGGGTGGCCCCAAAGAGTTTCCTGTTTCTTCATCTCTTCCGCATGAGCTTGTGGTTTGCGGGGCCGTGGAAACTGCAGGTAGTGTCAAAATAAAACAAGGGGTTTTGTGTTTTGTTTGTCCCCATGCGGGGTGGGGGTGGGGGGGCATGGGTGCGCACCCGGCCTTACCATACTGCAGGCGTTCTGAGGGGCTGCATTTGCTTTCCTAAGACCCTCAGACCCCACCCCCCCCAGTGCCCAGTGAGGAAACAGGCCTGGAACTGAGGCAGGCCAGACCCAACCACACCTGCAGCCCTTCCTGCTTCCAGCTCTCGCTGCTGCGCCTGCCCGCCCCCGTCCGCCTCCAAAAGTGCTGCACTTGACCCACAGGGGCCCCTGAGCTGCCAGATAATGTGAAATTCTGTGTGGACCAAAACCAATAAAAACCTCCGTTTCTAACAGGAAAGGGTGTTCCTGACGGTGGGGGAGGAGGGGGGCTGTTTAGAAGCAGGGGGAAGCTCTGCACAAGTCAGGGGGCAGGAGGGGCAACTGAGGCCCGGCTGGATGCGTGACCCGAGGTCAGGACTAGGGTGGAGGAAGAGGCTGAGTCTCCCTCACCAGCTTTCTTTAAATTCCTATACATCCCGACTCTAAAGCCCTCTTTCCAACTTTCACCCTTCCCGGGGCCTTCAGAGGTATGAATCTGCACGCCCCTTCCTCTGTGCTCACTGCAGTTTTGTGAAATAAATCAGACTTTTTCTTTTCTTTTCCCGAGAGTTGGAAACATCCGGGAAGTCTGCTCAAAATTCGGGCAACTATTGATTCTAAGCTTAGAATATTGGGCCACCATCCGACTCTGAAATCACCTAGACCCGAGGATACTGTTAAAGTGAACGGATAAACGGACGCCGTGGGACCTCCATTTTGGGGATGGGACGGGTGGTAGAAGTCTGCCTGGCGCCTGGAAATGGGCATAAGGCCCTAGCTAGGTCCGCCCTGCCCACCTAAGGAGGCCCCACATGAAGGACGGCAAGAACAGACTCCAGGAGTCCATGGGGGGAGGAGACGGGAATGTCCTGCAGTGCGACCTGAGGTGTAAACTCACGGGGTGGGGATCTCCCGTTATCCCCCACGAGTTGTGACGTCCCGGCGAGCCAACGTGATGCAGCAAGAAACCGCGCGGTCCCTTTAAGGAACCCGGCTCGGCGCGCCGGGCTGTGGTCCCGCCTCCTCCAATAGCAAAGTCTCGCGAGTGGCAGGTGCACTATCCAATAGTAGCGTCAGGGGCGGGGCCGGGCGGCCCGGCACTGGGTTGCGAAGGGCGTCGTCCGCGGTTGACCCGGGCTCCTCTTAAAGGGCCCGCGTTCTCCCGCCGCTGCCGGGCGGAGCGAAGGTGGATGGAGTTGGGGGGCCTCGGAATGGTGAGGAGGACCCCGAGAGGGTGGAAGGTGGAGCTTGGAAGACTGGGGGCGCCGCGGGGTGGGGGTGGGCGGAGTCACATTCCCCGATAGTTAGGGGTTTCGGGCAAGCCCCTGTTCTCCCTCCCCCTTCCTTCCCACTCCCGCGAGTGTGGGAAAAAAATGGATCACCACTTCTCCCTGCCCTGAGAAACCATCTGGTCGCCTCGGGGGGGCCCTCGCCACCCTACACCTGAAGCTCCCCACTTCCCAAATGAGACCGGGCCCCCTCCCTCCCCCCAAAATAAATTCCCCAATCCCACTGTGAAAAAGAAGGAAGGCTCCGAGTGCGCCAGTTCCCGTGTGGACGGAGAGACTTCGGCAACCTCCTGCGCTGTCAGCCTCATCTGAACCACGAGGGGGGCCACGGACAGCTCTGGGGGGAGAGGCGGGCTGGGTCAGGGACAGCCGACCCAAGAGGCCCGCCCCGGGTTTCCTTGGGAGCGTGAGTTTGCCCCTTTCTGGGCCTCAGTTTCCCTCTCTGTAGAAATGGGGGCCGGCGGGAGGACGGGAGACGAGGCTGCGGGTCTCGCCGCGGGTCACCGGGGGCTAACGGACCCGAGAGCCGGTCCCGGAAGAGGCCGGTGGTGCAGGCGGGGCCCCGGGGCTCCGAGCCAAGCTCCGCCCCCAGAAGGCCCGCGGGGTCTCGGGGACCCCCGGCCTGCAGCCTTCCGGGAGCGAGGCCCTCCCGGCCAATGAGCCGCGCGGACGGCTGCGCGCCGGGCTCCCATTGGTGGCTCCCGAGTGCGCGCCTTCAGGGCGCCTGAGCTTTGCGGGGCCTCCACCCGGGCCCGCCGCAGCCCACCTCTGCCCTGTCCTCTCCGCAGAGTCACCATGGCCCTCTGCACACAGCTGATGCTCCTCCTGTGGAAAAACTACACCTACCGACGGAGACAACCGGTAACGCCCGGGTGTGCAGGTGCGGGGCGGTGCCAGGCGTCCGGCACGCCCCCCCCCCCACCGTCTCTACACACTCTGCCCCCCCAGATTCAGCTTCTAGTGGAGCTGCTGTGGCCCCTTTTCCTCTTCTTCATCCTGGTAGCGGTCCGCCACTCCCACCCGCCACTGGAGCACCACGAATGTGAGAGCCACCGGGTGTGGTGGGAGGGGCGCGCCTGTCCTGCGCTGCCTGGAGCAGAGCCGCGGCGGGGGAGGGGGGGCGGGAGGCCTCGTCCTTCCCCGGCTGATCGCACAAGTGAGGGCGACTCCGAGCAGATTCCCCCCCCCCCCATCCCACAGGCCACTTTCCAAATAAGCCATTACCTTCGGCGGGCCCGATGCCCTGGCTGCAGGGCCTCGTCTGCAATGTAAACAACTCCTGCTTCCGACACCCGACGCCGGGCGAGTCGCCGGGGGTCCTGAGCAACTTTAAGGATTCCCTGTGAGTAAACCGGGCCGGTGGGGGTTGGCCGGCAAGGAAGGTTGGCACTCTTAAGGCCCCGCCTCCCTTCCCTCCTCTGCACCCAGGATCTCCAGGCTCCTCGCCGACGCCCGCACAGTGCTGGGGGGCCGCAGCACCCGGGACATGCTGGCTGCCCTGGGGAAACTGATGCCCCTGCTCAGGGTCGGAGGCGGAGGTTAGAGAGCCGGAAGAGGGAGCCCTTGGCTTGGCTGTGACTCGGGCAGGGGTCGGGGAGGGGCCACCCAGGCTGAGCTCCGCCCAACGTTAGCATCTTCGCCCCTCAGCCTGGCCACGGGAGAGTAATCAAACTTCGGTGACCACGAAGCTCCTGGAGAAGATCCTGCAGGGGGTGAGGAGGGGCTGGCGTGCGGCGGGCTCCGTGTGAGGCCTGGAATGAGCCCTTGGCCCTTTCAACACTCCCGTTCCCCGTTTGTGAAAGGGGGCGGGAGGGACTCGCTGGGGCCCCGTGGGTGGGGCGCTCACACACCAGGCAGAATGAAGCCGCGCGCTCCAGTCCAGCTCCTCTGGCCTCAGCACTCAGGAGGCGAATGAAGGAGGCTCAGGAGTCCAAGGTCAACCTTAGCCCGAGGACTACTGAGCAGCACCCCCACCCCGGCCTCCGCCACCCTTGCTGTCCTCTCCCCAGGCAGCCCCGGAACCCGTGCTGGGTCAAGCCGAGGATCCCATGAAGAAGTTCTTGGATGCTAGCAGAGATCTTACCCAGGAGGTGAGAGGCCCCAGCCAGCCTCCACCCTGGCCAGGAAGCAATAAGTAAACGGGGAATGGGAGGGGACCAACAGGAGCTCCTGACTGGGCCCCTGCCCTGGTTCAGACTCCAAGCTGGAAAAAGCTGTGTGTGGGGGCGCTTCCCTGTCATCCCTCCCGAGGTTAGGTGGGAGAACTGGGACGGTGAGGCTACCCTGGGCTACGGAGCGAGCCAATTTCTCAAGCGAACCAACAAAAACAAACCAAGACAACAAACAGAAGGGCTGGTTCTGTGGCTCAGTGGGCAGAGAGCTCGTGGCTAAGTTGGATCAATTGCCTAGCATGCCTAACTCCTCATAAACCAGGATGGTGACACACTCCTGTCCTTCGAATGCTTGGGAGGTAGAGGCAGGTCATCCTTGGCTACAGAGCAAGTAAGGCCAGCCAGCCACATGAAGCCCTGTTTAACAAACAAAAAGACCCAAAGCCAAGTTCGGTAGTGCACGCCTGTGATCCCAGCGGTTGAGAGCAGAGGCAGGCAGATCTCTGAGTTCAAGGCCAGCCTAGTCTACAAAGTGAGTCCAGGACAGCCAAGGCTACACAGAGAAACCATGTCTCGAAAAAACAAGACCAAACAAACACCCCCCCCCCAAAAAAACCCAAATAAACAAAGGGTGGTTTGCAGCCCTTGGTGACCTTTCCACAGCTCCTGACGCTGCCCAGCCTGACGGAGCTCCGGGCTTTGCTGCGGAGGTCCCGAGGGTTGGCTGGTTCTCTGGAGCTGCTTTCTGAGGCCCTCTGCGGTAGCAAGGGGCCCAGCAGACCTGGGGGCCTCTCCCTCAACTGGTACGACGTCAGCCAGCTCGATGAGTTCATGGGGCCAGAGGTGGCACCTGCCTTGCCCGACAGCAGCCTTAGTGAGTCACGACGGCTGAGCCGGGTTCCCCGTGGGGCTGGTGGGGGGCAGAGGGCGCAGCGGGGCCTCATGCTGTCCCCCTCCCCTCATCCCAGGCCCTGCCTGCTCTGAGCTCACGGGCATGCTGGGTGACCACCCTTTGTCTCGACTGCTTTGGAGGCGCCTGAAGCCGTTGATCCTCGGGAAAATTCTCTTTGCACCTGACACCAACTTCACCCGGGAGCTCATGGCTCAGGTGAGATTCGGGAGCCGGTGGGGGGACGGCGCTCTACACTGTACCCTTAGTCAGGAGGCCAATAACAACGAATAAGCCTTAGGTGAGGGGTTAGGGTAGAATTGCCTAGAATCCCCGCGAGAGGGGCTGGGGGGGGGGGTCAGGGGTGGAGGCTCCGCCTAGAATCCCCAGGGAAGGGCTGAGGGGCAGGGTCCTTGCCTAGGAGTCCCTGGTTAGGCATTTGGGCCGTGTAACTCAAGGTTAGAGCTAGGGTTAGGTTAGAAAAAATCCTCCAGCGAGAAACTCTGGGGCAGGTCTCGATGGTTAGGGGGGGTCACGTGGTATACACCGGGCTCTGGGCTCTATCTTTAGAACTCAAAATACCAAAAAGGTCCCCCTCCCCAAGATAGGGTTTTTATGTATAACAGAGCCCTGGCTGTCCTGGACTCGCTTTGTAGAACAGGACGGCCTCGAAAGGCTCCCGAGTGCTGGGACTACAGGCATGTGCCACCTCGCCCGGTCTCCTTAATATGTATGTGTGTAATATAGACATGGGAAAACAAGTTAAAGTGGAGGCCACACAAGCTTATGATTCCAGCACTAAGGACGTTGAGGCAGGGGCGTCCAGAGTTCCAGCATAAGCTACAGGGGGACGCCTTCAAGCCCGGTGTTTGGGGGGCAGAGGCAAGCGGATCTCTCTGAGTTCCAGGTCAGCCAGGGGTGCAGAGTGAGACTCGATGATGATAAAGAGAAAAGCGGTCGGGCCGGAGGTGCAGGCACCAGGACTCGGCCGGGGCCAGAGCGGATGCGGGAACACCACCTCGGCTGGCCTCGGCTCACCTCGGCTGACCTCGGCTGCCCACTCGTAGGTGAACCAGACCTTCGAGCGGTTGTCTCTGTTGAGGGACCTACACAAGGTCTGGGAAGCGCTGGGACCCCAGATCTTGAGCTTCATGAATGACAGTTCCAACGTGGCCTTACTTCAGGTGGGCTGGAGTGGAAGTGGCCACTTCCTGGCTGTGGTATGCAGATCAGAAAGGGTGGGTGGAGCCCTCCTCCTCCTCACTCATCGTTTACCCCTTTGCCAGAGACTGCTGGGAGTGGAGGACACAGGGCTGAGGCAGGAGACACCCCGAGGCCAGAAGCAGTTAGAGGCTGTCAGAGACTTTCTGGACCCCAGCAGGGGTGGCTACAGCTGGCAGGAGGCCCATTCGGACATAGGACGCCTGGCAGGAATACTGGGCAAAGTCATGGAGGTGAGGGGTTGTCCTAGAGGGTGGAGGGCGTCTTTCCCCGGTGGCCTGAAAGGGACCAGCAGCAAACCCTGACCTAGAGGATGGAGCAGAGAAGGCACCAGAGCTTCGTTTATGGCTGAAGAGGAGGGGGCCAGGGCTAAGGGATCCGTGTCCTCCCACAGTGTGTGTCCCTGAACAAGCTGGAGGCTGTGCCCTCAGAGGCGGCTCTGGTGTCCCGTGCCCTGGAGCTGCTGGGTGAGCACCGCCTCTGGGCGGGCATCGTCTTCCTGAGCCCGGAGGACCCTCTGGAGCCATCCGAGCTGTCATCTCCAGCCTTGGGTCCTGGCCACCTGAGATTCAAGATTCGGATGGACATCGATGATGTCATGAGGACCAATAAGATCAGGGACAAGTGAGGGGGGAGCTTCAGTGGTGGCACCCGGGTGCGGTGGGCGGGGTCAGGCCGGGACGATTGGAGGTGGTAGACGGCCAAGGCTCGGGGATAAGGTGGGAGGGAGCTAGCCAAATGCAGCAGGAGGCTAGCCTGGCACGAAGAGGGGCCAGCCAAGTGCGACGAGGGGCTGCCCAGGTGCGGAGATGGGAGCCGAGTGAGTGCATTGCTGGATCTGGAAAGGAGAGGGCTGAGCTCGGGGTGTGGTGGACAGGGCCCCCGAGGTGCTTCAGGTCCGCGTAGCCCACCTGATGAATCCGGTGTCTCCCAGGTTTTGGGACCCAGGTCCGTCAGCGGACCCCCTCATGGACCTCCGGTACGTGTGGGGCGGCTTCGTGTACCTGCAGGACCTGCTGGAGCAGGCGGCCGTGCGCGTGCTGAGCGGCAGGGACTCCCGCACGGGCCTCTATCTGCAGCAGATGCCATACCCCTGCTACGTGGACGATGTGTGAGGACACCCCCGCGTCCTGTCCGGGCGCCGCGGCTCGCAGGGAGCCTGCATGGGACCCGTAGGGGGCTCAGGGGCTCCCCTGAGAGAAACAAAGTGGCTTGTGCTGGGATGTGGGAGGGGACGCCGGCTGCGGAGCCGGAGACCCCAGCGTGAAGCCCGTGCCGCGTGCGCGCGCGCGCCCCGGGCAGGGGACCTCCAGCCGCACTGTCACCCACCCTAGGTTCCTGCGCGTGCTGAGCCGGTCTCTGCCGCTGTTTCTCACTCTGGCCTGGATCTATTCGGTGGCGCTCACCGTGAAGGCCGTGGTTCGCGAGAAGGAGACGCGGCTGCGAGAAACCATGCGAGCCATGGGGCTGAGCCGCGCGGTGCTCTGGCTCGGCTGGTTCCTCAGCTGCCTGGGGCCCTTCCTGGTCAGCGCGGCCCTGCTGGTGCTGGTGCTCAAGGTGACGGGTCCCCGACGATCCCCCCGGGGGCGTGGAGCTTGGGGCGCGCCTCCCTAGCCCCCATGTCCGAACGGGGTCCTGAAAGAGCTATGCTGGTCCCAGCTCGGGGACATCCTCCCTTACAGCCACCCGCTCGTGGTCTTCCTCTTCTTGGCGGCCTTCGCGGTGGCCACGGTGGCTCAGAGTTTTCTGCTCAGCGCCTTCTTCTCCAGGGCCAACCTGGCAGCAGCCTGTGGGGGCCTGATCTACTTCTCGCTCTACCTGCCCTACGTGCTGTGCGTCGCCTGGCGCGAGCTCCTGCCCCTGGGTGGCCGTGCAGCTGCGGTAAGGGACCTTCCGACAGGTGAGGGGACCGACAGGTGGAGCCAGCCCTCCGACCCACCCCTCTCTCCCCAGAGCCTGCTGTCCCCCGTGGCCTTTGGCTTCGGATGCGAAAGCCTGGCTCTGCTGGAGGAGCAGGGGGACGGGGCCCAGTGGCACAATGTGGGCACAGGCCCCTCGGAGGACGTCTTCAGCCTGGCGCAGGTGTCCGCCTTCCTTCTGCTTGACGCCGCTCTCTACGGCCTTGCCCTCTGGTACCTAGAGGCTGTATGCCCAGGTGGGCCATAGGGGAAGCGGCTCCGGGTGGGCAGCACACCGGAGGCGGAGCTGAAGCATGCCGGGCACCTGGAGAGATGCTGGGTGGTCTCTGGGATATCGGTCTCCTATTGGCCAGTGTTGGCGAGAGGGCGGGACCTTGTGGCCCCCTGCTGTCGGCTGTCCGGGAGCAGCCCGCCCCGGGCTGGGTGGAGCTTCCTGCTGCGGGGCTCTGTCGCGCTGGGTCGCGGGCCCAGCGCGCCAGCGCCCACGCGTCTCCGGGATATCGGGGTCCTGGAGGTACAGCTCCTAGCTGCTGCTGCCTCTGAGGAGCGGGCAAGGAGTAGGCAGGGCTTCCTAGCCACTCTTCCCGGATGCCCTGATTTCAGGCTCGCAGCCCGGAAGTTCTCACGTCTCATGGGTGTGATTAGTCTAACCTGAGTGTCGCTTTCCACCAGGCCAGTATGGGATCCCCGAACCATGGAATTTCCCCTTCCGGTGGAGCTACTGGTGTGGGCCTGAACCTCCGCAGAGTTCTGGCTTGGCCCCTGCCACGCAAGATCCCAACGGTGAGGCCCCACGGCTGTTAGTAACCCTTGATGGTTTTGACGCTCCTGTTTTCCCAAGAGAAGCACAGCCTGCAGCTCAATCCCCTGGACACTCCAGACCCCCAGGCCGCGGCTGCATCCGCTCGCGAGCCTCCCAGAGCCTGGGGCATGCCATCTCTGCTGGGTCCAGGCAGGGGCGCTATCTCTGAGCCACAACCCCGCCGGACGCTTTTTATTTTGAGACAGGTTCTCACCAAAGTTGCCCACCTTAAACTCATGAGCCACCTTCTTCACCTTGCAGAGCGGCCGAGTAGGCCGGTGTTCAGAACTACACCACTATGGCCATCCCCCTTAACCCTTAAAGGACCGTCATTCCCCTGGCCAGCTCTCAGTCCCCACCCCACCCGCCCACAGCTGACCCTGCCTTCCCTCTACAGTTCTGGTGGAGGAGCCCCCACCCGGCCTGAGCCCTGGTGTCTCCATTCGAGGCCTGAAGAAGCATTTTCGAGGCTGCCCACAGCCAGCTCTGCGAGGGCTCAGCATTGACTTCTACCAAGGCTACATCACAGCCTTTCTGGGCCATAACGGGGCTGGCAAGACAACCACGCTGTGAGCTGCCAGCAACTATGCTGTTTTTTCAGGCCTCAGTTTCCCCATCTATTCCATAGGCGCTGGGGTTGGAGGATTCCCAGGTGTACAGAGTTCCTGGGAGCCTGTCCCCCCTCCCTCTAAGAGGGGTACACAGCACCCTTCTCTCTGGGCACACATGTGCCCTATGAAGGGCCCTTTCTCAGATCCCCCTCACCCACAGGTCCATCTTGAGTGGTCTCTTCCCGCCCAGTGCTGGCTCAGCGTCCATCCTGGGCCATGACGTGCAAACCAACATGGCAGCCATCAGGCCCCACCTGGGCATCTGCCCACAGCACAATGTGCTGTTTGACATGTGAGTCCTGGTGGGCTTGGAGGGAGGTGGGAAAGGGGGCTGGCGCCACGTGAGACACCCACCAAGAGCGGAGCCGCTGCTCCTCACCCCTGGCCGTAGGCTGACCGTGAAGGAGCACGTGTGGTTCTATGGGCGCCTGAAAGGCGTGAGCGCAGCCGCCATCGGCCCCGAGCAGGAGCACCTGATCGAAGATGTGGGGCTCAGCCCCAAGGGGGACACACAGACACGCCACCTCTCCGGTGAGCCGGCCTAGAGAGGCCCCCTCCATGGGGCAGGGGAATATGGTAGGACATCCGGGACCCCGGGCAGGGCACTTGGCGGGAAGGGACACGGCCCTGCGCAGAGCTGGGTGGTCGCTCTCTCCACCCAGGCGGGATGCAGAGAAAACTGTCGGTGGCCATTGCCTTTGTGGGCGGCTCTCGCGTGGTCATCCTGGATGAGCCCACCGCCGGCGTGGACCCTGCCTCCCGCCGTGGCATTTGGGAGCTGCTGCTTAAATACAGAGAAGGTACTGTACATTCCGCAAGACGGAATGGAGTGGCCTGCGCTCCCCTCGGTTTCTGCTTGAGGGACCAAAAACCCTCCTAACGGAAGAGCTTTCTGACGATGCCGGGGATGGGGTTTGGAGTTTGCTGCGTTGGGTGTGACGATTCCTGGGTGCTGCTGCTGCTTGGATAAAGACCCGGTGAGCCCGAAGTTCACATGGGTTGGGCCCCTGTGTCCAGGGCGAACGCTGATCCTCTCCACTCACCACCTGGATGAGGCAGAGCTCCTGGGAGATCGAGTGGCCATGGTGGCAGGTGGCTCTCTGTGCTGCTATGGGTCCCCGCTTTTCTTGCGCCGACACTTGGGCTGCGGTTACTATCTGACGCTGGTGAAGAATTCTCAGTCCGTTGTCACCAGTGACTTGAAGGTAAGGGCTAGAGCCAGGCCCAGACTCTGTCCCCACCTCTGTCCTGATGAGACGAACCATTCTCTTTCTCTGAAGGCAGACAGCGGAGACCCCAGACGGGAGCAGAAGCCAGAGAGCAAGGGCAACATGGCAGGTGAGACCGGGCCAGGGAACCCCCAAGGGAAGAGCCGGGGCAGCAGCCACTTAACTCAAGACCCCAGGCTGGACCTCTGTCCTGCCGTGACCCCTGGCCCCAAAGCTCTTAACCCTTACTCTGCCCACAGAGACAGCCTTCACCGGAGGAACCTTGGACAGGGGCAGCCAGGCCCCAGCTCCTGACACAGCCCCAACCACCGCAAGTACAGCCCCCATACTAGAGCTAGTGCGTCGTCATGTGCCCGGCGCACAGCTGGTGGAGGAACTGCCCCATGAGCTGGTGCTGGCATTGCCATACGCGGGTGCCCTGGACGGCAGCTTTGCCATGGTCTTCCACGAGCTGGATCGACAGCTGGAGGCACTGGGGCTCACCGGCTATGGGATCTCGGACACCAGCCTGGAGGAGGTGTGGGGCCTGGTGGGATTTTGAAGGATGAATGGGAGTCTGTTTGTGGATGGCAAAGGGCAACTCCAGAGCAGACGATGGGTCTTAGGGAAGGTGGGTAGAGCTTGGAGGTCCCTTGAGGTCTGGGAGGGGGGAGCGTGAGCGTCCCCCTGTGAGGCGCTTGCTCCTTTTCCGCAGATCTTCCTGAAGGTGGTAGAGGACTCATACAGAAGAGGTATGTCGGAGCTCTGTGGCCCTTCACCCTGCCCCTCACTGCAGAACCCTGAGCTGGTTTTGGCAACAAGCCATCCCTTCGAATTCTGTTGTCCATTCACCCCGAGGCTGTGGCTTTGGTTTCCCTGGAAGCGAGACCCTGTCCTCAACCCTGAACCTCCTCGCCTCCACAGGCAGTGACTCCAGACAGCAGCTGCACCCACGCTTGGCCACTCTGCAGCCCCACACAGGGCCAGAGGCATCAGCCCAGGAGAACGGGGAGCTGGGTGAGTCTCCGCCGTGCTCACCACTCCCCCCACCCCCCCACTCCCAAGGTCCCAGAGCTTATCCTCCCATCCCCCACAGCTAAGCTGATGCTGGGTCCCCAGACCCCACAGAGCTCTGCACCCAACACCACCCAAGTGCAGGGATGGACACTCACCTGCCAGCAGCTCCGGGCTCTGCTCCACAAGCGTTTCCTGCTCGCTCGGCGCAGCCACAGGGGTCTGTTCGCACAGGTGCTGAGGCCCGGCACAAAGGAGGACGGGTGGCCGCGCTGGGGGCCTGCTGTCCGTGTGTGCGCCCAGCGAGCCCTCCCTGCTGTCTGCGGGGGGGTGCTGGGGAGCCACTGGGGACAGGGTCGACCGTATGGAAGTGGACCCTGACAACACTGTCCCCCAGATCGTGCTGCCCGCCCTGTTTGTGGGCCTGTCCCTGCTCTTCAGCCTCATCGTGCCTCCTTTCCACCAGTACCCGCCCCTGAAGCTCAGCCCCGCTATGTACGGCCCCCAGGTCTCCTTCTTCAGGTGGGTGCTGGGCACAGCGGGCGGGTGACTGGGCGGTGGTGGATGGCCGCTGTCACAGTGCTGACCTGTTTCCCTGCAGTGATGATGCCCCCGGGGACCCCAACCGGGTGAAAGTGCTGGAGGCGCTGCTGGGGGAGGCCGGACTGCAGGACCCCAGGGCACAGCCTGCCTGGTGAGGCCTGCCCAGCCAACTCTCCTTGGCTCTTTGCCCCCTTGGCATTGCCTCAGTTTCCTCCAGGCTCTCTCTGCTATCTGTGGAGGGTCTCGGGGAGCCATGGGAGGTGGTAGAGCTGGAGCAGGGTAGACTGTGTGGAGGTGTTGGTGCCTCCTTTCCTGGCCTTGTTAGTGCCAGGGGCTGCCTCAGTTTCCTCTCTTGATCTGCCTGCATTTCCCTGTCTGGGCTTGTCTTGATTTTCCCCTGAGCTCCAGCCTCCGTTTTCTTGCCTGGGTTCTGGCCTCAGTTTCCCCCCACGGCCTCTTGCCTCTGTGCCCCTCAGCCCCTGGCGAGGTGCCTCCCTCACCTCACTGGGTGGTGGGGTCTGCGTCTCCCAGCACTGCCTTGGCCTGGGCCGGCACTCACGGCCCTTCCCGGCTCCACAGGGGATCCGAGTGCACACACTCTCTCCCTTGCCGCTTCTCGGTCCCCGAGGTCCCTGCAGAGGTGGCCAGAGTCCTGGCCAGCGGCAACTGGACTCCCGAGTTTCCTTCCCCAGCCTGCCAGTGCAGCCAGCCTGGAGCCCGCCGCCTGTTGCCCAGTTGCCCGGCTGGGGCTGGGGGTCTGCCACCTCCCCAGGCCATGGTGGGCTTCGGGGAGGTGGTCCAGAACCTCACCGGCCGGAATGTGTCTGACTTCCTTGTGAAGACGTACCCCAGCCTGGTGCGCCGAGGGTGAGTGGCCGGGCTCCTCCAGGGGAGGTTGGCTGGGTTCCCGCGCCCCACACTTACCCTGCCCATTTGACTGAATTACTCTGCTCCCTGTGTGTCCCTCCCACAGCCTGAAGACTAAGAAGTGGGTGGACGAGGTCAGGTGAGGAGGGACCCGGTTTGGGAAGCTGTGTCTGTTCTTCCCCGCGCCCTCTGCTTGCCTACCTGCTCCCCCGGCCCTTCACTCTCCCTGTCTTCACCCCAAACCATTTTTCAGATACGGGGGCTTTTCCCTGGGAGGCCGAGACCCAGACCTGCCCTCAGGGCATGAGGTGATCCGCACAGTGGCAGAGATCCGAGCACTGCTGAGCCCCCAGCCTGGCAACGCCCTAGACCATGTCCTGGACAACCTCACTCAGTGGGCCCTCGGTCTTGATGCCCAGAACAACCTTAAGGTGGGCCTGGCAGCCGGGAGTGGCCAGGGGAACTCCAGGCCACACTCACTGTGGGACCTCATGGCCCTTGCTCCACTCAGATCTGGTTCAACAACAAGGGCTGGCACGCCATGGTGGCCTTCGTGAACCGAGCCAACAACGCACTTCTACACGCCCTCCTACCACGGGGCCCCGCCAGCCGTGCCCACAGCATCACGACGCTCAACCACCCCTTGAACCTGACCAAGGAGCAGCTGTCTGAGGTCGCGCTGTGAGTCCATGCATTTACGCTCAGTGGTCGTGTTGTTCAGGGTTGGAGGGGGCTGGATTAGAGCCTTGCCTGTGCCCTGGGCTGGTGACAAAATGCCCTACAACCACCAGAAAGGCCAGGCAGTGTGGTGGCACAAGCCTTTAATTCAGGCACACAAGGGGCAGAGGCAGGCAGACCTCTCGAGTTTGAGGCCAGCCTGGCTTATGTACACAGAGAGTTCTAGGTTATATATAGACACCCTGTCTCAAGGAGGAAACAAAGACAGCAACCTGGTCTACAGAGTGAGTTCTAGGAAAGCCAGCCCTCTCTTAAAAAAACAAAAACAAAAAAGAAAGGAGAGAGAGAGAGAGAGATACTTTCACACGGTGGAACATCAAGTCACCCAGCATCTTGTCCCACTTTTACCAAAAAACCCAGACCTCAGAGACCTCAGAGACCTCAGCATCATGACCCACAGGCTTCTGGCCCAGGCCACCATGCCCACGCCATCACTATACTCAACCATGCTTTGAACCCAACCAACAAGCAGCTATCTGACCCATTATTGGCTCTGAGCCCACCTTGACCTCTCTCCCACAGAATGGCTTCCTCAGTGGATGTGCTTGTCTCCATCTGTGTGGTCTTCGCCATGTCATTTGTCCCAGCCAGCTTCATCCTGGTCCTCATAGAGGAACGTGTCACCAGAGCCAAGCACCTGCAACTGGTCAGCGGTCTGCCCCAAATACTCTACTGGTTTGGCAACTTCCTCTGGGACATGGTATGTGTGGCTGACTGCCTGGTAGGGGTGAATGGGCACCTGGCAACAAGAGAGGGGAGGGGAGGCACAGCCCCTGGCCCTCTGAACTACCGAACTCCTGTCTTGGACACAGTGTAACTACTTGGTGGCAGTTTGCATAGTGGTGCTCATCTTCCTGGCCTTTCAGCAAAGGGCCTATGTGGCCCCAGAGAACCTGCCTGCCCTCTTACTCTTGCTACTGCTGTATGGGTGAGAGCCCCTACCCCTTCGGGTTTATTCCTCTGAGGTGGGGGGAGAAGAGGATTCATAGTAACTGAAGAAAAAGATTTTGAGGTCCAAGAGGACATCAAGAATGATGAAATTCAGGGATTGGAGAGATGGTTCCATGGTTAAAAACACTGGATGCTCTTTCAAAGGACCCAGGTTCAGTTTATAGAACCCACATGGCAGCTCTCAACATTCTGTAACTTCAGTTTCAGAGGATCTGATAACCTCCTCTGACCTCCACAAGCACCATGTGTGTACATGATGTATGTAGAAGCAGCAAAACATTCATATACATAAATAAAAATAAATCTTAAAAAAAAGGCCAAAGTGGTGGCTCACACTTTTAATTCCATCTCTTGGGAAGCAAAGGTAGGTCAGTCACTGTGAGTTCAAGACAACCTGAGCTACATAGTGAGAACAAATAAGAAACAATTATATAGTTAGAATTGTGAGCTGAGTCAATGTGGCCTTAAAAGCTCATCCCATCTGGGCTTATAACACAAATCTGAGGTGTGGCTGTCCTTGGAACCACCCAGAATGTAAAGTCACTGGTGGCACCTGTCACCCTTTCCTCCCAGCTGGTCTATCACGCCACTCATGTACCCAGCCTCCTTCTTCTTCTCCGTGCCCAGCACGGCCTATGTGGTGCTCACCTGCATCAACCTCTTCATTGGCATCAACAGCAGCATGGCCACTTTTGTGCTGGAAATGCTGTCAGATCAGGTGGGACCTCCTCACAAAACCTGGGGCTGGGGCTGAGTTAGTGGGCACTGTTGGGCTTAGCTGCTGATTTCCTAGGTTTTACCTACCCTGAACAGGACCTGCAAGAAGTGAGCCGGATCCTGAAGCAAGTGTTTCTTATCTTCCCCCACTTCTGCCTCGGCCGAGGGCTCATTGACATGGTGCGGAACCAGGCCATGGCGGACACCTTTGAGCGCTTGGGTGAGAATGTCTGTCAGATGGGGACTGTGAACAACACCACTGAGAGTGCCACTTCCAAACTGAGTCGTATGGGATGGGAACACATCGCCTTTAAGTGAACAATGTTATGTGGCACAAAAACAATGTCAAATTAAAGGTGAAGAAAAAGCCTATTAAAGAATCATATCCTGAAAGATCCATAACCATACATGAAGGAAGATTCGAAACCTTATAGTCTAAAGTTAGTTACACTCTAGCAGTACAAGTCTTAGTCACTTTTCTTGAGTCTAGGGGGGAAACTCAGTCCTTCATGTCCCCACAGGAGACAAGCAATTCCAGTCACCCCTACGCTGGGACATCATTGGCAAGAACCTCCTGGCCATGGTGGCCCAGGGGCCCCTGTTCCTGCTCATTACCCTCCTGCTCCAACACCGAAACCGCCTTCTGCCAAAGTCAGTGGGGTCAGGTGAGGGCGGCAGGGGCCGGCATCCTTCCCTGGATCTATCCTCACATGTCCATCCTCAGACCAAAACTGAGACTGCTGCCGCCCCTGGGGATGGAGGATGAGGACGTGGCTCGAGAGCGGGAGCGGGTGACCAAGGGGGCTACCCAGGGGGACGTGCTGGTCCTCAGGGACTTGACCAAGGTAGGCACAGGGTAGGCGAGTGCCCGGGTAGGGTGGCATGGGTACTCCATCCTTCTCAAGGAGCTGCACCCCTTCAGGTGTACCGTGGGCAGAAGGGCCCAGCTGTGGATCGACTGTGCCTGGGGATCCCCGCTGGGGAGGTGAGTCCAGAGCAGAGAACCCAGTCCCAGGGAGTGCTTCCTCCCTGCCTGGCCCCCAGGCCCCTCACTATGACCACACTGTGCGTTACTGAGTAAGTGCCGTACACCGATCACCTTTTCATTAAGCGCCTCCTGTTGCCTAATTTTTGAACTTGTGTCCGTTTGTGTGGCACTAGAAATCGAACCCAGAGTCTCAGAAGTGCCCAGCGAAGGCTGCAGAGCTAAGCCGTGCCCCCAGCCCCTCACTGGGGGGCACTCTAGGCTGGCACTCTATCACAGAACTGTGTCCCTGCTCTCAGCTCCTTATTGAGCCATCAGCCCTCATTAGGCACCTACTGTGTGCTCACAGTCGTTAGCACAATCAGTGATCACCAGAGACCCTTTCTCCACACATGCCTGGATCAAGCACGTCTCAGGTAAAACCTCTTTGGCACCTGTTTCTGCCTTCAAGCACCTACACACAGGCAGAGTCTTTTGCGGGGCTCCGGTTCACTGGCTGCCTAGGGGTCAGAACACACCTGTGAATATGCGTGAGCCTGCTGAGGCAGGAGGATCAAGTGTTGAGGATCGTCTTTCGTAGCCAGCCTGGGCTACGTGAGACCCTGTCTCCAAAGCCACGAATAACTAAAACAGATTGTGTCCTGGATGCCCCAAACCATTCTCTGCTAGATGAGAAATCTGCCCCTCCCAGACCCTCTCCCCCGGGCCCTCCCACCTTCCCATGTGTTAGCACTGGGGGCTGTGCATTGCAGCCCCGGCCTCGGGCTGTAAAGGGTTTGTGGGTTCCTTGCAGTGTTTCGGGCTGCTGGGTGTCAACGGAGCAGGGAAGACATCCACCTTCCGCATGGTGACGGGGGACACGCTGCCCAGCAGTGGTGAAGCCGTGCTGGCAGGCCACAAGTAAGGGGCCCCTTGTAGGGGCATGGTCACCCCGAACCCCGGTTCTTGACCTGTCGGTCCCGTGAGTGGACTCGGTCGTTCACCAGCCCAGTCCCCGCGACCTGCGTCCCTCTGCGCGTGGCCCACGTGCTCTCCGCAGACACCCATGCAATCCTGCGTGGGTGGCCTGTAAGCGCTTCAGCCTCCTGTCCCCACCCCAGCGTGGCCCAGGAACCAGCTGCCGCGCACCGCAGCATGGGCTACTGTCCCCAGTCTGACGCCATCTTCGACCTGCTGACCGGCCGGGAACACCTGGAACTGTTCGCGCGCCTGCGCGGGGTGCCCGAGGCCCAAGTTGCCCAGGTGAACACGCCCTGTCCTTGTGCTCAAGGGGGCTCGGCCCCTCTCCGTGTGGCCCCGCCCATGCTCACCCGGCCCCGCCCCGCAGACGGCAGTCTCCGGCCTGGTGCGCCTGGGCCTCCCTAGCTATGCAGACCGACCTGCGGGGACCTACAGCGGAGGGAACAAACGGAAGCTGGCGACAGCCCTGGCTCTGGTTGGTGATCCGGCCGTGGTCTTCCTGGTGCGTGGAGGCGGTGTCTGAGTGGCACCTGAGTGAGGGGGGTTCTGAGCTTGGGGAGGGGCGGTACCTGAGCTTCGTTTGGCCTTGGCCTGAGCAGGGGAGGTCTGACTGAAGTGTGTTCTAGCTTAGAGCGGAGCTCAGGCTGGCTTTGAGCAGATCGGGGGCTGTCACGGGGGTCCTGCTTGGCTCAGAGTCCGTGTGGCCTTTGCAGGACGAGCCCACCACAGGCATGGACCCAAGTGCGCGGCGATTTCTTTGGAACAGCCTGCTGTCGGTAGTGCGTGAGGGCCGTTCCGTCGTGCTCACGTCGCACAGGTGAGCCCCAGGGCCACACGCTGGCCATCTCGTCTGAAGGGGCGGGCCAGAACATAGCCCCTGAGCAGGCAGGCCGGACCCAGCCACCCTCACACTGTCGCCTACAGCATGGAGGAGTGCGAAGCGCTCTGCACGCGCCTGGCCATCATGGTGAACGGGAGGTTCCGCTGTCTGGGAAGCGCTCAGCATCTCAAAGGCAGGTGAGCAGGGCGTGAGGCCCGGCCTGGGTCGGGGAGGCGGGGACTGGGGGATACAGGATCTGATTGGTGCGCCCAGCGTGTGGGCGGGGCTAGGAAGGCTAATCAGGTGTGTGGAGGTGGGGCCTGAAGAGTCTCAGAGGAGGAGCTTGTATGCGTCCTGGAGGGGCGGGGGTGGAGTAGGGGTCGGAAGCCCGGCGCGGTGCCCACGCCTGTGATCCCAGCACTCAGGGAGGCAGAGGCAGGCGGATCGCTGTGAGTTCCAGGCCAGCCTGTTCATTGGTAGGAGTCAAGGCTACACAGAGAAACCTTGTCTGGGGGGGGGGGGGGAAGGATGGAGTGTGGGTGAGGTTATATTATATATGGACGTGGGTAGGGGCGAAAGGCCGAGCCACACGCATAGAGTAATATGTCGTTTGTAGGTGTGGCATTCTGGAGAATTTAAGGGTGGTGTGGGATGTGAGCACTGAATAGAGAGCCATGTTGGCCGGCCTAGGGTATGAAGGGCAGAACCACAAGGCTAGGGGAAAGGGTCATTTGTAGGGGTGGGACCAAAGACAAGAGAGCGGTAGGTACGCTCAGGGCTAGCTGCAGGGGGCGGAGCCTGGGAAAGTGGATGTATTCAGGGGAGGACATTCTGGATGGAGTCCAGGGCCTCCAGGCCTGTCAGTCCTTGGAGACACAGGTTTTCTAGGGTCCTTGGGGACACAGGTTCTCTGGTTAGGTGTGGCTCTCAAACAGGGCGGAGTGAGGAGGAATTGGGTTGGGTCCAGGTGCACATGACAGTCTACCCACAGGTCCAGTGTGTAAGGAGAGCAGCCAGGTTTCTGAAAGTAGTGGGCGCCGTGGCCTGCATGCCTAGCCCTGTCTCCTGCAGGTTCGGGGCTGGCCATACACTAACCCTCAGGGTCCCACCGGAGCAGCCAGGAGCAGCAAAGGCCTTCGTCCAGGCCACCTTCCCCGGGGCTGAGCTCCGGGAGGCGCATGGCAGCCGTCTGCGCTTCCAGCTGCCTCGTGGGGCCGGATGCAGCCTGGAGCGGGTGTTCAGGGAGCTGGCAGCGCAAGGCCAGGCCCACGGGGTGGAGGACTTCTCCGTGAGCCAGACCACTCTGGAGGAGGTGATGTCGGCCACCGCAAAGGAGCCTGAAGGGGAGAGTGGAGGGCCTCACCACCCTGAGCTGACATCGCCTCCCTCCCGTGCCTTTCTGTTCCCTCCATGTCTCTGCCCTGTCAGGTGTTCCTCTATTTCTCCAAAGACCAAGGGGGCGAGGAGGAGGGCAGCCGGCAGGAGAGTGGAGCCGGGGAGGTTTCTGCGTCCAGCCAGCGGCACCCCAGCCGTGTCCACCGATTCCTGGAAGACCCCAGCTATGTGGAGACCATGCTCTGAGCACCCCTGCCTTGGGACAGAGTGGCAAAGCGCAGACAGGGTCTCCGCAGCATGCGCTGGTCCCCTGACAGCCCTGGCCCCTGGAGGAAATAAAGAGAAACGAGGAGACAGCAGTTGTGTGTTTATGTTTTGGGAGCCCTAGCTCTCTGCAGTCTTACTAGTGCGGGTCCCATCTGTGCCTGTGTCGTGGTCCGAGAGGTGATGGCAGCCGTGACAGGCACGTTGGACCCAGTCCTGTGACATGGGCGCTCCAGACGTCTAGTCACATGTGCCCTGACCTGCCTGTACCTATGTGGGTCTGGCACCCGAGGGCGGGACTTGTGAGTGTTTCTGAGTGTGCAGTAGAGGTGAGGTCAGGCTTGCGGAATGTCCCAGGCGGCCTCGAGGACCCTGGTGCTTTCCTGGCCAGACCAGAAGCCCACCCCAGAGCCGGCCAGCCCTTATCCTGAGACAGCCTCCCACCCCACCCACTGGCCATCCGACCATGAGTGGGAGGCACGGGACCCTGAAGGGGGTCCTTGGCTGGGTTTGTGGTTGGACCAGAGCTTGGAGAGCAGGGCTGGGCACCACAGGCTGTGTCCTCCCTGGGCTGTGTCCTGGAGAGCCACCCAGCGTGGCCGAGGTCAGTGGGAGTCGGCATGGTTGAGGGGCAGGTGTCATCTGTGTGTCCCGAGGCCCAGCGCTGGGATGTGGAAGGCAGAGTGGGAACAGGAGCAGAGGCCACCAGGGCAGTGGGGCTCCGGGTCGCAGGATTGGAAGCCACACGCTGCCGTCCCGGGTAGACTGCGGGTAGAGAGTCCTAGGAAATGGAGGTCACCTGTGGGTGGTGAGGGAGCCGGGGAGGTGTCCGTGGGAGGCTCCACCTCCTCTTGCGACGAGGACACTACCTTTCTGGACTGTACTTGGGAGGGTATGTCCCAGCCAGGGTCAGCTCATGCCTGAGTCAGATGGCTAGATGTCCTCAGGACACAGACTGCAAGCGGAAAGTGGCTTGCTGTGGGGACTTGTGTCAGAGCTGGTGAGCGACGTCCCATACAGTCTGACACCCGGGACAGTCACAGTGGGGCGGGGCTGTGGTGTCACCTCCCTCCCTCCGCTGGGGGCCTTTTCCTGTGTTGGGGACTTGCCGCCAATGAGGGCCAGGCCGATCACGTGGGTCTGACAGCTGGGGAGGGGGTGGCTCTGAACAATGTGGTCCAGAGACAGCCAGCACCAGGAGCCACAGGGCTGAGACCCCCCCCAGGCCTGCCTGTCCTCATCGAGGGCCAAGGGGACTGGCTCCACCATGTTCTCCAGGAAGAAACGGGAGCTTATGAAAACTCCCTCTATTTCCAAAAAGAACCGCGCGGGAAGCCCCAACCCGCAGGCCTCCTCAGTGGTGAGTGGGGCACAGAGCGGGCGGGGACCCAGGATGACACACACAGCCTGTGGCCACTGCTGGGCGCAGGGCACGGCCACAGCACCATGCCGGGCCCGAGGTGGGGCGCTCGGGCCAGCTACAGTCCCCAGGAAGCAGGATGGCAGGCTATAAGGAGAGGCCTGAACCTGGAAATCCGCCTTACGGTAGGGGCGGCCACGGGTGGCCACCAAGTCTCCCCTCTTTACGAAGGGTGTCCCCGTCATGTGCCGATGAAGGTTGTGGGTAGTGGATAGAGCTTGTACTGGAATCCAGGGACAGGTTTGAGATTCCCGAAGTTGGGGTTCGGGCAGTTTAAGAGTTCTGGAAGCTGGGGAGATGGTGTGGGACTGAGGTGCAGTGTGCAGGGCGGATTCAGGGGGTCTCTGGGTTTCTCCAGAACCTGGAGGTGCCTTCTGAGCTTGGGGGTTGTGAAGTTTGGAGGTACCTACCATTTGGGGGTGTCCTGGGACCCAGGGCCTGATGAAGCCCTCACGTCTCAGAAGTTATCCATTTACACCCATGGAAGAGTCTGGGATGGCTAGAGGGCTGGAGACCCATGAGGGCCCTCCCCACCCCCACCAGGAAGTGGGGTGCCCCCTCCCTCCTGTGCCCCACAGGCTCCACCCCGGCTGTGGTTTGGTTAGGGACGGTTGTTTGTGAAAGCTAAACAGAGGAGGATGTTGGGTAACAGGTGTGGGGGGGGCTCCCAAATCTCTGCCCACTGACCTCTGACCCCCGTGATTAAGTTCTGGGGAAACTGAGGCAGTGTCTGGGATAAAGGATTCCCCTTGACTCTTCTTCTCCACACTCCCAGGAACTGCCCAGGAAGGAGTGTACAGAGGCTGCTGGCCTAGAGCCACCAGCCACGTCCCTGTCCGCGGGCACCAAGACCACAGGCACACTCAAAAGGCCCACCAGCCTGAGCCGCCATGCCAGCGCCGCCGGCTTCCCGCTCTCAGGGGCTGCCACCTGGACCCTGGGCCGTGGGTACCGAAGCCCCCTGTCTGCAGCCAGCCCTGCAGAGGTGCCCGGTGAGGGACCTTTCCCTGAGGGGGTAGAAGACATCTCCACCCTGCTGGCCGATGTGGCCCGCTTTGCAGAGGGCTTGGAAAAGCTCAAGGAGTTCGTGCTGTGTGACGGTGAGAGCCCCCTTGGCTGCACCTTGGCTGCACCGTGAGAGGGAAGGGGGGGGTGAGGTGGTGCAAGCCTTCCAGGCCGGCGCTCAGGCAGGAGGCGCTCTGTGAGTTCCAGAGCAACAGGCCTACGTCTGAGCTCCATCCAGCTCAGCCACAGAATTACACAGTGAGACCCTGACTCAGAAGAAAAATAAATAAATGAAGAAGGAGAAGAAAAGGGGAAAAAATGAAAAAGAAGAAAGAAGAGAAGGGAGGGACACGAGGTGGCTGCAAACAGGATGGAAAGAAGTGCATGGGTCAGCCAAGGTTCTGAAGGATGTGTGGGAGCTTGATGCCCTGCAGGGGAATGTCTTAGGCATTTGTTCACAGACATAGAAACCGAGCCTGTATCCAAGGACCACTGTGTGAGGACAGATGGCTGCAGAGGCTGAAGAGCCCTGGACACAGTCCCATACACGGAAGGTGTTAAAACAGGGCACTGCCCGAGAGGGCGGTACTGGGAGCCTGAGCCTGCGGCCTGAGGCATATCAGTTCCGTTTTCTCCTGCACGCGGGTTGCTGACGGCTCCCGTTTCCTCCAGAGTTATTTTCACCTCCTTCCTGTTTGTCTCCGTCAGCCCAGAGAGATAGATGGGTCGGGTCTGGCACCAGCCTCAGCACCCCCAGTGGCTGCTCCCCGGAAACCACATGTCAGAGTTGGGCCCAGAGCTCATCCCCACTCCCAGGGAGGTGGAGGCCTGAGTGTGGCCTCACCCAGGGGCCTGTGCGGGCCAGCTCCCTCCGGGCAAAGGATGGGAGCCCCAAAACTTACCTGGTCTCGGGGCGGAGGTTGCGTCTGCTTTTCTGGGGAAGCCTTAATCTCAGGCCTTTTCTTCCCCGGCGTCCTTGGAGGCCTGCCTGGCGGGCGCGGGTCACCTGTTGGGTTGCTGGGACCCAGGCCTTACAGGTCTCACCGGCCGGCTCAGCACAACCTCTGGGCCAGGTTTTTACTAAACAAGAAGAGAATCAAAGTACATTTTAGACTGTAGCTGGGAGCGGACACAGGCCACACAAGGCCCTTTCTCGGGAGCCTTCTCCTGCCCTGGGGATCCAACTCCGGGCCTCAGTTTCCCCGCAAACCCAACCCTCTCTCCCAGACAAATTCCTTCTCTGAGTTTAGGAAACAGCCCTTGCGAGGAGATCTGGGGGGTGGGGTTGTTCCCAGAGAGAGGCGGGGCCTGAGGACCGGCCTAAGCCGGTTTGGCTGTTGGCCAACCCCCAAGGACCCCCAGGCGCTGAGGACCCTGGTCGCCTGACCGCGCAGTAGCTCTCTGTCCTTCCCGGCACCCTGAGCCATGTGTGTCTGTGGGACGCTGCATCGAGCGCAGGGCCATGGCCCCCAGCGCTGCCACATGGGGCCCCGAGGTGAGGAAGGTGCGGGGGGGGGGGAAGGGTCCCCCACCCAAGGCCAGGACCCTGCACTCAGGGCCTTTGCGCAGTCCCCAGGGTGGCCAGGGCCTCTGCGCTCCTCCGGGCCTCATCCCCGCTATCATTAGGCTTGGAGGTGGCCCGTGTGAGGGGCTGCAGCGGTCCCCGCGCCCCGAGGGGCGCACTCGCGCCTGGAATGCCCCGGGAGGGGGCGCGGCTTCCCGGGCAGCAGCCCCGGATTCCTGGAGCCAGGTCCGCCTCCGAGACATGGTGCGCTCAGTCTGGCCACAAAGACGCCGAGGGAATAGCGGCCAGGGTGCCACTCCAGCAGGGCCTGGGCCTGCAGAGGCCGGAGAGCCTTTCCAGAGTCCTCTGGAGGGTCTCCGGTCTTCGCTGCCCCGTCAGCATTGCACAGGGTCTTGAGCTAGCCCACACTGCAGGACGGAAAGAGAAGCAGGCAAGAACTCCACCTCCAGCTCAGGGCACTTGTGTTCCAGAGGCAGAGGAGGCGGCCAGCTGCACAGGGGCCATGGTTAAGCCTGTTCAGCACGTAGGACTACCATCAGCTCTGACGCCTCTCATGCCTCTCTACTGCTCAGAGGTGTGAAGGCAGGCAGGGTCCTTCCAGGGGACGCCGTGTGGCCATTAACCAACGGCTCTCCCTGTCTGTGGCTGGCACACATTGGCGGTGCGGGTTGGGTGGCGAAGCTTCCTCCCTCTTGGCGTAAATCCAAGAGAGATTGACATTAACAGACTTGCTCAGGGAAGTCCTCACTCTCTCCCACCCCTGCCTCAGTTTCCCCATCTGACCTCTGGGCAGACTGGGGCCAGCCTCTTCCTTCTCACCCTCACTCGCTTTCTCCCGCAGACCTCCTGGAGGCCCGCCGGCCACTGGCCCACGAGTGCCTGGGCGAAGCTCTGCGCGTGATGCACCAGGTCATCTCCAAATACCCACTCCTGAACACCGTGGAGACCCTCACAGCCGCCGGCACGCTCATTGCCAAGGTCAAAGGTCAGGCCGGCCCCCCTCTGTGGGAGGGCTTCCCAGAAGAGGGGGTATCTGTGATGGGGTTTTGAGGGATGCATAGGAGTTTGACAAGCACGCCCCCCCCCCCCTCAGCCTTTCATTATGAGAGCAACAACGAGGCAGATAAGAGGGAGTTTGAGAAGGCTCTGGAGACCATCGCTGTGTCCTTCAGCTGCACGTGAGCTCTGGGCGGGGTGGGGGGCAGGGAGAATGGGGTCGAGCATCTGCGTGGACCTCTGCACTGACACCCCCTGCTCCCGCAGCGTGTCTGAGTTTCTTCTGGGTGAAGCAGACAGCAGCACCCTCCTGGCCGTCCCCCCCGGGGACCCCAGCCAGGTGAGCGGAGGTCCCAGGTCCGGGTGTCTGTGGGAGGGATGTGGCCGCCCCTCCTGGGGATTGCGGCCTCCATGAGCAGTCTGGAGGGGCGTAGAGTGGAGGAGGGCAGGGGAGGACCGGCATGCTTTCCTCACGCAGGCCATGGAGAACCTCTATGGCGCCGGCGAGGGGTCCCCACCCAGCGTGGACGAGTGCGAGGAAGGTGAGTGCCCCCGGGGTGCGGGGCCGGGCCAGCGGGAGGGGGGCTGGACTGAGCCCCGCCCCGCCGCGCCCCCGCAGGCTGCCTGTCCCCCGAGGCGGTGGACATGCTCCTCCAGCGCTGCGAGGGGGGCGTGGACGCCGCGCTGCAGTACGCAAAGGACATGGCCAGGTACATGAAGGACCTCATCAGCTACCTGGAGAAGCGGACCACTCTGGGTGGGAGCGGGGGGCGGGGGGGGGGGGGGGCGGGGGCCCTCCGGTAGACTGACCAGGCACCCTGCTCTCCCTCCGGTAGAGATGGAATTCGCCAAAGGCCTGCAGAAGGTTGTCCACAATTGCAGACAGAGCATCATGCACGAGGTGGGTGGGCCGGACGGGCCTGGCCTCGCCCTCTCCCCGGAGGGCGGGCCCGCGGGGGCCGGGAGTGGCTGGGGGGGGGGGGGGGGGGGGCTCGGGGCACCGCCACCACTCGGCCCTTCCCGCTCCGCAGCCCCACATGCCGCTGCTGTCCATCTACTCACTGGCCCTGGAACAGGACCTGGAGTTCGGCCACGGCATGGTGCAGGCGGCGGGGACGCTGCAGACCCAGACCTTCGTGCAGGTGGGCCGCGCGCGCGAGCCGGGCTGGGTTGCTGGCTGGCGGGGCCGCCCGCCGGTCGGCACTCAGGGGTCCCTGTCTCCCTCAGCCCCTGACCCTGAGGCGGCTGGAGCATGAGAGACGCAGGAAGGAGATCAAAGAGTCCTGGCATCGCGCGCAGAGGAAGCTGGTAGGGGGCGCAGGGGTGCAGCCAGCACACCCCTAAAACAGAGGGTGTTCCCTGCGTTTGCCAGGACCCCTCAGAGTCCCGCAGGTGCTCAGGAGTGTGGGGGGAGAAACTGAGGTGCGGCCTCAGCCCCAGTGCACGCGCCGGGTTCCTGCGCATTGATCTTGTCTTTCTCCGGCCGTTTAAACGCACATAGGTGGCCTGGGGAGAGGGCTCGGGGTGAGGCACCCATCAGTTGACCATGGGGACCTGAGCATGTGGCCAGCACCTACATAAAAGCCAGGCGCCGAACCAAGCATCCGGGACCCCAGCACTGGGGAGGAGGGACGGCAGGATTAGGGGCCTGCTGGGCCAGAAAGCCTAACCGAATCTGGGTTCTGAGAGATGCTGTCTCACAAAGGCAGTGGTGGCACACGCCTTTGACCCTGCTGCTTTGGAGGTCGAGGCAGGAGGATCTCTGTGAGTTTCAGTCCAGTCAGGGCTGCGCACTGAGGCCCTCCCTGCTGCAAAAAGATAACATAGAATGACGGGGGTGGGGGTGGGGGAGGTCCCAGCCCGGGACCCATGGCCTCCACAGGCATGCACACACAGACACAGAGCCAGTGTCTTTCCTCTTGGCTCCTCAGCCATTGCTCTAGCAACCGCTGGTAACAAACGCGTGCTCCCCACTTGTCTCTGCCTGGGGTTCCAGAATGAATGGGCAGGTGGGGGTGTCTACCGGGTGCCCTCCCAGCAAGAGCCGCACCGCTCAGTTTCTGTGGGTGCTCTCTGTTCATAGCCTTTGCTCAGAACAGGTGAGGCTGAAGCTTGTTACCGGTTTCTCAGAGCTCTGTATGTGTTACGGAACACAAACGGCAGTGCTGTTGGGAGCCGCCACGCTTTACCATTTGACACTTTAATTTTACTAATTTGACTTAAAAAAAAAAAAAAAAAAAAGCTATCAGGCCAGCTGTGGTGGCACACGCCTTTCTCCTTTAATCGGAACACTTGGAGGCAGAGGCAGGCAGGCATCTGTGAGTTCAAGGCCAGCCTGGTCATCATAGTGAGTTCAGGCCAGCTAGAGGTATGTAGAGAGACAGAGAGACGATGTCCCCTTCCCCCCAAAAAAGCTGTCAGATTTTAGCGTGTGTGTGTGTGTGTGTGTGTGTGTGTGTGTGTGTGTGTGTGTGTTTTAATTAGTTCTTTAGTGGAGCGGGGATGAAAATGCCACAGCATTCATCGGGAGGTCAGGGAACAAACAACCTGTGGATCCAGGGCCTGGGTTTAGGTCCCTAGGCTTGGTGGCAAGGCCTTGACCTGCTGAGACAGAGGTGCCCGATCTTCGTAATGCCTCGTCCCCGGAATGCAGTTCCTCACGTTGTGGTGACCCACAAGCTTGAAAGTATTTCCATGGCTTCTTCATAACTGTAATTTTGCTACCATTTTGAATCGTAATGTAGGTATCTGGTGTGCAGGATGTCTGATACACGACCCACAGGCGCCTGAGAGGCTGTGCCCCACAGGTCGAGGCACAGTGCTGAGCCACGTCATCAGCAGCTCGCTTTGCTATGAGTTTGTCTGTCTTTATTTATTTAGGTGTTTTGTTTTTTTTTCCCCCTTCGAAACAGTCTCTCTCTATAGCCCTGGCTGTCTCAGAACTCTCTCTGTAGACCAGGCTGGCCTCCAGTTTACAGAGATCCACCTGTTTCTGCCTCCCGAGTGCTGGGATTATAGGCTTGCGCCACCACCTTCTGGCCTCAGGCTTAGTTTTTAGTTTGCGAGTGAGCCCAGGCTAAGCGTGAGCTCTCCCTCTGAGCCCCTGGACTCCCACCCAGAGCTCCTGCCTTCGTGTGCCTTCATGTTGAGGTTTCTGTCTTTCAGGCTGGCTGTGGGGTGTGGGCTCCACCCAGGCCCGTTAGTCTGTGACTCAGTGCTTCCTGCCAGCCCGGGGTGCTTGGCTTCCTGCCTGGGCGGCTCTCTGTTTTCATCTCTAAGACAGGAAGTGAAACAGTGAGACGTCCTGAGACCTGGCCTACAGAGCGTGTTTCTATTCAGCTCTGAGCTGTGCCTCAGTTGCCCCGTGGGTCCCACTGCACATTCTCCCAAGTGTCTCCTGTCAAGGCCCCTCGGCTGGCTGGGTGGGAATGTGAGGTTCTTGCAGGTGACGTGGGGGGCAGGAACTGAGCCTGTGTGAGGCCCATGTGGCAGCCTCGCTCTTCCCTCACAGCAAGAGGCAGAGGCCAATCTGCGCAAGGCCAAGCAGGGCTACAAACAGCGCTGTGAAGACCACGACAAGGCCCGGCTACAGGTGGCCAAAGCCGAGGAGGAACAACAGGGCGGGACGCCAGGAGCAGGGACCACTGCCTCTAAGGCGCTGGACAAGAGGCGGAGGCTGGAGGAAGAGGCCAAAAACAAGGTGCATTAGCAGAGGGACCCAGCGGACACGACCTGGTGGAGGGGCCTCCAGGGGACATGTGTGCAGCTGCCACCTCCAGGCCTGTGCCGTCTCCACCAACGATGCCCAGCTCCCGCTTACTGGTTATTTAAGTTTTGGTTTCAACCAAGATGAATCTCTGGGCTTTTCCACTTGCAAGACAAGTGCTCTACCCCTGACACGCCCCCAGCCCTCACTGAGGGATTCTAGGCGGGGCTCCACCCTGACCGCGCCCCCAGTCCCTCAC